CCAACTCTTCATTTCACTGATATTTTGTATTTTTTTTGTTTCTGTTTTGTTTATTCTCTGATTTTAATTATTTCTTTTCTCCTAGTTTTGGGTTTGGTTTGTTATTTTTCTAGATTCTTGAGATGCATTGATTGCTTATTGAATTGGTGCCTTTCCAATTTGTTGATGTATGTACCAGTTACTAGAAACTTTCCTCTTAACACTGCTTTTGCTGTGTCCCTAAGTTTTGATATGTTGCATTGTCATCTTCATTTGTTTCCAGAAATTTTTTGATTTCTCTCTTGATTTCTTTGATGACCCACTGTTCATTCAGGAGCATATTGTTCAGTCTCCATGTGTTTGCACATGCTCTATAGATTCTTTAGTTGCTGATTTCCAGCTTCATTCCTTTGTGGTCAGAGAGATGTATGGTATGATTTAGATTTTTTTGAATTTGCTGAGACTTGCTTTATGGCCTAGCGTGTGGTCTATTCTAGAAAATGTTCCATGTACTGGTGAGAATAATGTGTTCAGCAAGTGTAGGATGAAAACTTCTGTAAATATCCATTAAATCCATTTGGTCTATAGTGCTGATTAACTCTGTTGTTTCCTTGCTGATTTTCTGTCTGGTTGATCTGTCCATTACTGAAATTTGGGGATTGAAGCCCCATGTTTTGGAGTCTTTGTCTCCCTTTAGATCCATTAACATTTCTTTCAGATAGCCAGGTGCCCTATAAGTAACTGTATATACATTTATTATAGTCACATCTTCCTGTTGAATTGATCCCTTAATCATTATATAGTGCCCTTCTTTGTCTCTTTAACAGTTTTTGTGTTAGTCTATTTTGTCTGATATTAGGATGACTACACCAGCTCTTTGTTTCTGTTAGGTTGGAATCTTTTTACCTCCTTTCAGTGTGTGTGTATCTTTGTTAGTGATATGTGTTTCTTCTAGGCAACAAATAGATGGGATTTGTTTTTTTTTTTTTTAATCCATTCAGCCAGTCTGTACCTTTTAACTGGAGAGTTGAGGCCATTTACTACATTCAAAGTGACTATTGATAAGTAACGACTTTGCTCTGCCATTTTTCCCATAAATATTCCTACTGTTTACTCTGGATTTCCTTTATATTTTCACTGGGAGATTTTCGGCCTTCACCTTCTTTCATAATGATGACCATGCTTCTGTGTTTCTGTGTGTAGCACATCCTAAAACATCTTTTTTTAAGGCTGGATTAGTGGTGACAAATTCTTTCAATTTGTTTGTTATGGAAGGTCTTTATTTCACCGTCATTCATAAATGAGAGCTTTGCAGGATACAATATTCTTGGTTGACAGTTTTTTCTTTTTTTTTTTTTTAAAGATTTATTTACTTATTTATTTGAAAGAATTACACAGAGAGAAGGAGAGAGAGAGAGAGAGAGAGAGAGAGAGATCTTCCATCTACCAGTTCACTCTCCAGTTGGCTGCAATGGCCGAAGCTGCACCCATCAGGAGCCAGGAGCCTCTTTGGGGTCATGAGTATTTTCTCATGCCTTTGAAATACTCAAAATTGTAACTTCATGGTGGCATAATTTTCTACTTAATGAAATACTTCCTTACTCTTGGGAATTTAAGTGACTTCCAGTTTTTTGGTATGTGATACTGTCTGTGGTATTGCATTATGGTATGTACACAGTCATCATGATCTGAAATATAATAAGCAAAATAGTAAGTTATCTCCTGGTGGTGGGATGAGGTGGTACATTTTTTCTAACTTTATAGTGTTATTATTTCTAAAATTTATTTAAGAGGCACATAGCCAGGTGAGAAGGAGACAGAGACAGACAGACACACACAGATATCTTCCATGCTGGTTCACTCTCCAAATGGTTACAACAGTTAAGGCTGGGCCAGGTAGAAGCCAGGAGCTAGGAACTCAATCTGGGTCTCCCACATGGGTGGCAGAGACCTTCTGCCTTCCAGGACGTGCGTTAACAGGAAGCTGGAATCAGGATGGAGCTGGGGCTGGAACCCAGGAAGTCACTGTCATACAGGATGTTGTTGCCCCAAGAGGTATCTTAACTTCTAGGCCAAATGTCTGTCTCTGTAGTATTACTCTTATATTATTTAAAAATTGTTACTGGTTGTTGAAATACAGTTTCTGAGAGAGTTACTGTAGCCGTATGGCTTAGATGACATGAGGCAGGTAGGCCTAGCTTTTTTGTTGTTGTTGTTAAAGACTTGCTTTTTTTAAAAAAAATTCATTTATTTGAAATTCAGAGTTACACAGAGAGAGGAGAAAGGAGAGAGAGAGAGATCGAGATCTTCGTCCATCAGCTGGTTCACTCCCCAGTTGGCCACAATGCCTGGCGCTGTGCTGATCCGAAGCCAGGAGCTCCATGCAGGTGCAGGGACCCAAGGGCTTGGGCCATCTTCTACTGCTTTCCCAGGCCATAGCAGAGAGATATGGAGCAGCTGGAACATGAACTGGCACCCCTATGGTCTGCCAGCACTGCAGGCTACGGCTTTACCTGCTATGCCATAGCGCCAGCCCCATACCTAGCTATTAACTGCGTGACTACAGCCCTACTCTACCCACTGTGTGACTTGACCATGTTACTTCCCTAAGCACCTTTTCCTTCTACATGTAAAGTAAAGTGGGACTTTTTTTTTTTTTGACAGGCAGAGTGGATAGTGAGAGAGAGACAGAGAGAAAGGTCTTCCTTTTGCCGTTGGTTCACCCTCCAATGGCCACCACGGCTGGCACGCTGCGGCCGGCGCACCGTGCTGATCCGAAGGCAGGAGCCAGGTGCTTCTCCTGGTCTCCCATGGGGTGCAGGGCCCAAGCACTTGGGCCATTCTCCACTGCCTTCCCGGGCCACAGCAGAGACCTGGCCTGGAAGAGGGGCAACCGGGAAAGAATCCGGCACCGCTAGGTGGAGGATTAGCCTATTGAGCCACGGTGCTGGCCATAAAGTGGGACTTCTACTAAGAGTTGTCAGGATTAGAAATGATAATGTATGTAACAGCCCTCAAAAGAAAATTTTTAATTCCTTTTTAATTCTTTCAATAAAAATTAAAATGTTAACTTTTTATTGAATACATTACAAAGACATTCAAGATGTAACAGTCAAAACTCCAATGCATTTGGAACCTAAACTAAATTAGGTATATAATCACCCTGCAGATTACAGATTGAGTATTATGTTTCATTCAAATAAAATTAGGGGGGCCACCACCTGCAGTGACAGCATCCCATGTGGGCACTGGTTTGGGTCTCAGCTGCTCCACTTCTGATCCAGCTCTCTGCTGTAGCCTGGGAAAGCAGTGGAGGATGGCCCAGGTCCTCGGGCCCCTGCACCCATGTGGGAGACCCAGAGGAAACTCCTGGCTCCTGGTCTCAGATCGGCACAGCTCTAGCCATTGTGGCCACTTGGCAAATAGGCCAGGAGATGGAGGACCTCTCTCTCTGTCCCTGCCTCTCCATCTATCTCTGTGTAACTCTTAACTTTCAAATAAATAAATAAATCCTAAAAAATATGAAAAAAAGATAACAATCATGGGGTGGCGCTGTGGTACGGTGGCCTAAGCTGTTACCTACAGTACCAGAATCCCTTGTGGGCACCAATTCGTGTCCCTGCTGCTCCACTTCTGATCTGGCTCCCTGCTAATATGCCTGGGAAAGCAGCGGAAGATGGCCCACATGCTTGCACCCCTGTACCCCTGTGGGAGACTCAGAAGAAGCTCCTAGCTTTGGCCTGACCTTTTCTTGGCCATTGCAGCCATTTGGGATGTGAACCAGTGGATGGAAAACTCTCTCTCTCTCTGCCTCTCCCTTTCTGTAACTCTGCCTTTCAAATAAATAATCTTTAAAACTAAATAAAATTAGGGGCCAGTGTCATGGCTCACTTGGCTGATCCTCCACCTGTGGCGCCGGCATCCCATATGGGCACCGGGTTCTAGTCCTGGTTGCCCCTCTTCCAGTCCAGCTCTCTGCTGTGGCCCGGGAGGGCAGTGGAGGATGGCCCAAGTGCTTGGGTCCTGCACCCACATGGGAGACCAGGAGGAAGCACCTGGCTCTTGGCTTCAAATCGGCACAGCACCGGCTGTGGCGGCCATTTGGGGAGTGAACCAACCGAAGGAAGACCTTTCTCTCTGTCTGTCTCTCTCACTGTCTATAACTCTACCTGTCAGATAAATTTAAAAATAAATAAATAAAATTGATATTGTAATAATTAAAATGTAATTTAGGTTTTCTGCCAAGAGCAAATTTCTTTCCATTCTTGCTAATCTGTTTCAGCTGTTGAACTACCACAGCTATTACATGCGCTATCACCACTTGATAGCCGTGGCTACCTGGGTTCCATAAGGGAATTCAGACCCATCATCCCTAGGCCTGGCTCCGTGTAATGAAGTTGCTGCTTTTCTGTGTGTCCAGAATGGTACCAGTTATGTGCCGTTTCATTTCTCACTGAGGAGAAAAATGTCACCCAGATCATGTCTGTTTTGTGGTTTAGATGAGGAACCCTGATTGAGATGCCTGGAGCGTGGTAGGTTCTCAGTAAGTGGAAGTGATCCCTGTTGGTCTTGCCCTAGAAGTCATATCAAGGGCAGTGGCTTTCTGGATTTCATTGCTTGGGACAGGCATCTTTGCTGGCAGGTGTTTTCGGAGTGTGATCCAGTAAGTGGACAGCTCTGGTGCTTTCTCAAGCCTTCTCTTGGGTCTGGGACTTGGACTTTGGGGAAGGATTGTCAGCAATAGCTTCAGTTGCTCTCTTGTTGTGTAGCGGCCTCTTTCCTCCACTGCAGGGCGCCAGGGTGCTGCTTCCCGTCTGGTAGTGCATCTGGAATGTCCGTTCTCTCCCTGTAAATGTCCTTGCATCAGAAGCCTTGTTCAGACCTCAGGTTTCATGCTTTGTTGCCACTTATTCAGTTCTGATGTTCATGACTGCTTTTTGGGGACACTGATCATTTTTTATGTACTGTTTTAATGTTTCCTGGTGAATATTTTCTCGTGACTGTTTTTTACTTTATTTCAGCTACTGATCTACTTCTTGCCTGGAATCCTGTTTGTTTGGGGTTGGTAGAAGGTGTTATTGGAAAAATTCAACTCCATTCAGGTATGTTTCTTTATTTCTTTTTAGAGATTATTGATTTTGAAAGTCAAAGTAACACAGAGGGAGAGACAGAGAGCGAGTGATCTTCCGTCCATTGGTTCATTCCCCAGACGGCCGCAAAGGCCAGCCCTGAGCCAGGCTGAAGCTAGGAGCTTCTTCTGGGTCTCCCCCATGGGTGGCAGGGGCCCTAACATTTGAGCCATCTGCTGCTTTTCCCAGGTGATTAGCAGGGAGCTGGATCAGAAGTGGAGCAGCTGGGACTTGAACCGGTGCCCTTATGGTATGCCAGCATTACAGGTGATGACTTCACCTGCCATGCCACAATGCTGGTCCCAGGTATATTTCTGTAAACTTTTTGGACTTGTCAAATTTAATGTGGCATTCTGTGGATTCTCTTTGAGATCCATGTAGATTTTGTTACAGCTTTGATTCTTTTGACTTTGATTCCTTTTACATCTGCTCAAGGTGGGTGTATTTCTGTATAAGTTCAATGAAACAAAAGTAAAGCTTTAGAGAAAAGGAAGCATAAAATTACAATCTTCTTACTGAAAAAAAAAAAAAACAACTTGCTGAGTACCTACTGTGTGACAGGAATTGTGCTAGTTGATGGGACACAATACAGAGCAAAATCCACCCCGTTTACCTTCGCAGTGCTTACAGTTTAGGAGAGAGTTTGTGTTTTGCAAATTGTGGCAGGAGCTGTGAAGGAAAGATACAGTAAGTGCACTGACTTCACAGGAAAGCTGGACAAGTAGGTAGGCGGTCACCTTGGCTTTAAGTCAGCTGGATGTCCATTCTTGGTACAGGGCACTCTGGACAGGAGAGCGCATGGGTCTCTCAGTACATGGTGTGGTCCTCTTGGGGGTGCTTATTCAAGGAGGGCAGGAGATGGGAGGTCTAGGTCATTTGCCAGGCTCATGGTTGGACGGACAGGCCCTGCATCCTGGATTCAAGGGGAATTTTGTAGGTGGGAAAGTTTAGTAGGTATCATATGATTCAGTCCCACAAAGCTAACCAGAAAAGACAAATCAGAATATTTTAAGTACTAATTTAAGTGTCTATTTTTCTCTTAGTATTGATTTTAATATCATTATGAAGTATATGAAGCTTTGCCTTTATTGCTACATAATTGAAGTATCTACCTCTATAGTGTGCCTTTTAAAATTTTTTAAAATAGAACTATTGAGCATTTGGAAACTAGGTTGATTTTTGTATAATTTGCCTTTGCCAGATTCTTTGGTTGTTTTTAAGAATGCTTTTGTTTTGAAATATAAATATAATAAAATTCTATTTATCACAGATACATGGTATAGGCTGTTGTAAAATATATACATTTATCTGCCATTCAGATTAAAAAATGAAGTACAACCAAAGTGCGGGAGCCCTCTCTGGGCCTTTTGTCCTGTTTTCTTCCCTTTAGAAGAACATACTGTTTTGAATTTTGTACTTAGAATTCCCTTGATTTTCGTTTTTGCTTTGATTATATATGTATTCCTAAATAATATATGCTGCTTGGGTTTGTGTTTTGAAGATTCTCTTTAAATATTAAGTTGTTTGTGTTCTTTATTTGATTTTTTTTTTTTTTTGAGATTTATCCTTGTTGATGTATGGAACTTATTTTCATTGTTATATGAATATTTCATAATTTCTCATTTTTTTCCTGGCAGTGGGTAATTGAGTTTCCTTTTTTTTCTGTCAGAAATAATAGTGCTATGAGCGTTGTATATATTGGTAGTTGTTTTTTTTTTTAATTATTTCAGTCCAGAAGAGAGAAGCATTCAGTCATTGTAGCGATCCAAGTATTTTAATAACACACTCCTGCCTGTCCACATTTGCATCATATATTTTTAATCATTTACATGCTGACAGGATAATTTCACTGCTAGGTGTTCTGAGCTAAAATTCATTTTCTGTTGTTTAAATGACATGTGTGAAGTGCTTGAGTTATTTTTCCTTAATTTCAGTCAATCTTGTAGCAGCCAATAAGTCACTGAAATCAATCAGGAGACCTTGGATTCAAGCTCTGTTTATTAGCTTTGAGCTATAGGAGAAGTTTCCTAACATCTTTTCACTTGTTTGTTGTATCACAAGCCCGCCCCCTAATTAATGGCTTAGCCCAAGAACAACGCATGGTATCTCATGTTTCTGTGGGTTGACCCAGAGGCTCTTCCACCTTCTCTTTTGTTGGCTAGGTCACTCTGGTTCAGTGTTCACCTGCGAGTTTGCCTGGATCTCTTTCCATGCGTCTCGTCTCCCCAGGCCTCTCTGTGGGCTCCTCTCCCTCTCCTGGATACAGTGGTGGTTGGGTGCTAAGAAGACAAGTTCAGTGTGCCAGGGCCTCTGCTTCTTACACTGCCAAACAAGAGTGGAAGTGACTGGCCTCTGTATTTCTGTAGGTTGTTGTGAGTCCCAAATGAGATAACACACCTGAGGTACTTAGTCAATTATAAATCACTATTTTTTTAAAGATTTATTTTATTTATTTGAAAGGTAGAGTTAGAGCGAGAGACAGAGAGAGAGGTCTCCATCTGCTGGTTCACTCCCCAGATGGCTGCAGTGGCTGGAGCTGGGCCAGGCTGAAGCCGGGAGCCAGGAGCTTCTTCCAGGTCCCTAATGTGGGTGGGTGCGGGGGCCCAAGGACTCAGGCCATCCTCTGCTGCCTTTCTAGGCACATTAGCAGGGAGCCTTATTGGAAGTGGAGCAGCCAGGACTCGAACCAGTGCCCATATGGGATGCTGGCATCACAGGTGGTGGCTTTAACTGCTACACCACAACCCTGGCCCAATCAGGGCTGTTTTGGATGTAAATACAAACCTATCAGCTTATGTAAAAACAAGCCAATTCTTGAGAGGAACCTGGTAGACTAAAACCAAGAAGTGGATGTTTATAGGATCAAAGATTATTTCCTTAGGACAAGTCCTCTGTGACCTCTTCATTTTTCTCTTCTTTTTTGCTTTCTCTATGTATAGCAGACAAAATCTCTGCCCTTAAAATGGTGCCCTCAGCCCTCAAACCAACTAACTTCTGTCAGTCTCTGTCCTCACCAGGGACTGACCAGCAGTCCAAAAGGATTGAACGGTGCGTCCAGTTCAGACTCCTGAAAATGAAGCTTGCTGGCTAGCACAGGCCAGGGCCTTCGTGGTCAGCTAGTCCAGTTCCCCGCAGGGGCACTCTCCTGGGTGGGCAGGCAGGCTGAGCAGCAGGGTCTGGATTTGGCAGCCAGCCTGGAGGTTGCCTCCTGTAAGCAGTGCACAACTGTAAGTTAATGGCTTGCAAATTCATGATGAATGGAAGAACAGTCATTGAGGAGGCAGTGAGGCGAGGTCCTCTGCGGTCACTCCGGGGAGTCTGGGTGTCCTCTGCTGGTTTCACCTGCCTCTCTCTTGGCCCCAGGACAGGTGGTTGGTAGGCAGCAGGAGTAACTGTGGAATAGGGAACTTGAGAAAGGGAGCGGTGGGGAGTCAGCGAGCTGGAGAAGGGGGAAATGGAAAAGGAAAGGAGAGCAGGGAGAGTCTGCACTTTGTACTCTTTTCTTGTACCTTTTTTTTTCCTTGTCCATTTGCTTAAAGGTTTGGCTCTGAAGAAAGGGAGCAGGGCAGGGGTGGGGTGGGAAGCAGAGGAAGATCTCTCCGCCCCTGCATCCTGTGTCCTGCGCCCCAGCCTTGCCCCTGAGCACCCATCTCACTCTTCCCTCTCATCCTCTGTCATGGGCTCCTGTGCCTTGTGCCCGCCCTGGCTCTGGTCAGCTTGCTGGAGGCGTATGTGAGAGCTGAGCTGATTACTTGGGGGCGTTTTCCCATGGGAGCAGAGGATGAGGAGAACAAAAGGTCTGCACTTAAACTCTTTCTCACTCTGGTTTCCCACCTACTCATTCTCTCCATGTTAATGCATGAATTTTTGTTCTTGCCTGGTATGCTGGGAACATAAATTTACTCAAACAGATGCCATTGGCAGTCTCAAAATGGTGTGGGTGAGCTGTGCTGCTGTTCCTGTCACTGCACTCTGAGCCCTGTGGTGGGGCAGGCGTCCGTGCCTTAGGAGCTCTGTTAGTTTGCTTGGGCTGCTGGCTGGATTTTATTTTCTCATAGATCTGGAGGCCAGAAGTTGGAGATCACGGTGTGGGCAAGGCAGGTTTCCTGGAGGCCACTCTTCAGGTCTCGTCCTCTCTCCTGTGGTCTCCATCTCCCCAGGGAAAGATGGTGCCAGGCAGATTGGATTAGAGCCCCCCCTTCCATCACCAGGACCTCATTTTCTTAACTGTCTCTTTAAAGACCCCATTTCCAAATACAGTCACATTCTGAGATACTGGGGTTAGGACCTCAGTATATGAATTCTGAGGGGACACAGTTCAGTCCACTGAAATGCTTATTACAGACATCAAAAAGCGTGTCCATTGGTCCACCACTGCTGGTCCTGCTTCTTCCCTTTTTCACGTTGATAGGCCATTCTCCGCATACCACCGAGGCCCTGCAGGTGGACTTACCTTGGGTCAGGACGCCTCCTCCAAGCCTCAGTGGCTGTAGCAAGACAGCTGTGGTCAGCGCAGGGAGCGGGGAGAAGGGAGAGGCCCTTCTTGTTGGGGTTGTTGTGAAGATTTGATAATTGCCTGCAGAGTGAGTTCTTGGTAATTCAGTCTGCTGGCTATTCTTCCTTAAAGGCCCTAGGAGGTGTCAGATATTTTAGAGAACCGTTTAAGTTCTAGATACATAATTTTTTAAGATTCATTTTTTATTTATTTGAAAGGAAGAGTTGTAGAGAGAGAATGGGAAGGGGGTATCTTCCATGCTGGTTCATTCCCCAAATGGCTGCAACAGCTCGGGCTGTGTCAGGCCGAACTTCCAGGTCTCCCATGTGGTTGCAGGGGCCTAAGTACTTGGGCCAATTTCCACTGCTTCCCCAGATGCATTGGAGCTGGATTGGAAGTGGGGCAGCAGGACACGAAGGGGCGCCCATATAGGATGCTGACGTTGCAGGTGGTGGCTTAGCACTCTGTGCCCCAATGC